GTAGGTTAAATTTTTACTTCAATTTTACTAACATTCTTGTATGGGTTTTCTGTTGCCTGAAATAAGGATATATTTTTTTAATTTACATTCTGTTTGAGTAATGACTCGAAGACAGTTGGAGAAGTATTCAGACTATTGTCAAAATGAAGAAAACATTGAGAGGAAATCTTAGAAATCGAAATTGTTTATATTATAATGGGATTGGCATTTCAACTTATTTAATTTAAAATTTTGATTTAAGTATATTAAATTTAAAAATTGTTTATATAATGTTTAATAATTAATTATAAATTCAAAGAAATATGAAATTTGTGAAAAATGCATTGGGCATTGAATTCATCCTTCACATTTATTTTATTTTTTTAAGAAAAATATTTACAAAGATTATGACTTTATGACTCTGTGAATTATTTCCTTTTATTTTTATATTCGATGTATTAGTTTAATGAATTTCTAACAATGGTGGAAGATTTAGTAATTTTGAAATGTTCCTAATTTTTAAAATAGTCGATTTATGATAAAAACAAAATATTGGATCATTGTGGTTAGATATAGATTATAGCATAAAAGTTGTTTGCTCTCACATTATTTTTCAGGGTTTATATGTATCTATCTATCTTAATATATTTATTAGTGTATTATTATAAAAATAAATCAGGTGGATTAAACCCTATTGTCACAACATTATTACAAAACATTTAATTCAATTACCCACTTGACTCCCAATCTTGGAGAGTGAATATTTTTATCTGGTTGCCCATTCGGCCAATTAACCTAAGGCCCCACAAAGCGAGTCATTATTTAGTTACGAGCCACGCGAATTGATGGGCCGATGTTGAAACTCTATTTTTACTATTAAGTGTACAGTTTCGACCATCGAAGTTAGAATTTTGTGATGAATAAACAATTTTTCGTAATATTTAAAAGATAATGACCGTTTATATTATGTGAGAACTCTGTCGCAATCGCAACTTACGACAGCGACGGGACGATACGGTGTAGTGAATATTCTTACAGCGCTGCTACACGGTTTTCTAATCGTCTGATTATATTGTCATTTCCTCCCTGTTGTTATGATATTCATTACTTAATCAGATTATTTTGGGCCTTGAAACTGCATATTCAGTGTTGGAACTAGAAACTGAGTCTGAGGAATGAGAATGTGAGGTTTTTGATTTTTACTTCTAACTTCGCTTAAATAAATAAGATATAGTTGATGACCGTATTCCAGTGGTAAATTTAAAGCTTTCAGTTTTACAGTACTGCTAACTATATATGACTGTGATATCGAACGATCCTCAGGGGTGACAACGCATTCGGAGGGTAGTTGTAAATGTCTGTGGGCAACAGTATCCACTTACCGTCAGGTGAACTGTGTGCTCGTTTGTCACCCTAATTATATAAAATAAAAAGTCAAAAAATAAGTCACCTCTCACCTCACATACGCGCTAGTTAAACAGTTCAGTGCCTCGATTCTAATCGAGGTACTCTTGACATGATATAGTACCGAGTTTGTGTTCTTAAAAACTAGAAATAAATAAAAACGTTTATTTGTTGTAGATATGTTTATTAAAACATGTACATAATTATAAAATAATATTGCTTAACTAAATATCTAATATAGTTGATGGCTTGGGTCTTATTGATGCATAAGAGGGTTTATTGCGTCATGATAGAGAGCCGTAAGCATTGTTCAAAGAAGCGAGACTTTTAGTACTGCTTTTGATAATCCGACTACTAGATTACTTTTTGAGGTTAATGAACGTAGTATAGATGGTTTAGTATTACACGTAACAAAATATGCATATTGTATTGTACACGTTATACAAAGTGAGATTTTGGTCGGGGACTTAATCGTATAGGTCCCATGTTTATATGAGACTAAAAAAAGAATATTCCATCCTTGTTACTTGCCTAGCTAGCATGTCGTAAAAGGCGACGTATGGTATATTGAGATTTGCTATTATGTACTGGGCTAGTCACCTACCACTTCTTTTAGAATTTTCCATCTAAACATATATTTCCGGCTAAACATTATCCAAGTATATCGCAACTCTTTGGACTCTATCTATCCGCTCGGGAATACCAGGCGTGACATACAATATAGACTTCATATAAATCCCAACTACTTACTTTTTGTTTTTGTATATCACTTATTTTTAAGAATTTTAAAATTATAGGCTCATTTTTTTTCTAGATTACAATTTTTTTATTAAAAAAAAAAGAAAAACATACAAATGGCCAAAATATAAACAATCACACATTCAAGTTAATATGAGTAATGAATCATCGTTAAGAGACAAGAAAGACCGGTTGTTAAAAATATGAAATGTTGCACAGAATCAAGAATGACACCTCGTTTAGCTTTGAAACATTCAAGTAACTCTATCTGATTAAATTCCACAAATTCCAGAGTAGTATAAACCTCTTTAATCAACTCTGCCTGTTTGTATAATAAGACAAAGCAAAAGCGGCGAAGTTGTTGATAGTTATACCTTTTTTTAGTAACAGGAATGACAAACAAGCACACGGTACTTCTGATAAGTGGATGCTGTGACCCATAGACATCTATATCTATCCTCGATTAAGAATCAAAATGCAGATGCGTTGTCACCCCTGAGAACTAGGACGAAATGTCTCGTTTCCACTAAATAGAGTTCTCTTCACTCATTATACGAAGCACAGCAACATTAAGCTGCTATTTTACTCTGGTAGTCTCTAAGAGCGTGGTCCTACCCTGGTCAAACCAACCCATTTTTACTACAACCATAATATAGCTGCAACGTGGCTCTACCATGTATAAACCTCGGAAGACAATCGCAAGTTCTTGTTTTGCATCCCATCGGATACAGTTCTGTGCATACCGAGAAATAACTGGTTTATCAGTATTAAAGATAAAAATATTTAATTAAGTTAAAGATAAGGTCGTGTTCTTTTGAACGTCAAAATTAAACGCCGGTTCAAAGAATTGAATCACTACAAGGAATAACCTGCAATAAACTCCGGGGTAATAATATTTTTTTTTATTTGAGATTTTTAAAATAAGTTTTTTGCCTAAGTTATTAATAATATCACGTGGGATCTTAGTCAAACTAAGATCTCTATATATAAAAATCAATTGCTGAACATTAGTTTCGCTAAAACTCGAAAATGTCTCGACTGATTTTGATGAATTTTTGTGTGTTTGAGTGGATCCCTGGATGATTTAGGTTCACAGTTGGACCCAATGGATGGCGCTGGCGGTCCCGGCTTCGCACCCGAAAAAATTATGGTATAAGCGTTACGTCTAGTAATGTTAAGATATTTGTTTTTTTATAGAATAAGGGTGACTAACGAGCACACACTCCACCTGATGGTAAGTGGATTCTGTGGCCAATAGACACCTACATTTGTCGTCGATTAATAATCAAAACGCAGTTGCGTTGTCAACCCTGAGAACTAAGATGGAATGGCTCGTTTCCAGTAAAAGAGGGTTTCCGGATCTCTACACTCACCATACGAAACATAGCAGTATTAAGCTGCTATTTAACGTTGGCATTCTGTGAGAGCGTGGTCCTTCCCCGGTAGAGCCGACCCATTCGTGCTACAACCATAGTATAGCTGCAGCTTGGCTCTACCACGTAGAGAGATATATAGTAGTTTCATCATTATCATTGTCATTGCACCATATTAAAGTCCACCGCTGGACACATATGTTCCTCCATAGACTGTTTCTTGGGGGATTATCTATAATCACCACGCCTGGCAAGTGGTTTGTTAACCGTAGTTTTTTATTAACTTTATATATTATCATGAGGAAGGTGATGCTGCCAATCTCCTGTTTCTGTTTCCTTTCTCTTTGTCACCTACTGCGACATCAACGTGATGATGTGGGGCAGTGGGTCCTCTTACACTACCACCACGCGGTAATTCCTATTAAACCTATCTGGTGATTAGAAATTAAACAATGTTTAAAAAAAATTAACCATTCCAATCAATGACTGATAATCCGCGTGGCATGACCACCCGCACTTTTTACATATCGTTATCATCATACCGTAGCATTCTCAAGACTCGAGATGCAACTGAGACATAATTAGTGAACAATCTAGAGCTGCTTAGGGCCATAACATAGCGCTTTCCTGGGAAACTGTTACAGATAATTCAAAATCTAAAAGTTTTACAAATTTTCTTTACAAAAAAAAAGTAACGAAACTGGTTACAATAAATCAGAGATGTATCACCCTCAGAATGCTCATAACCCTTTTTATTAGTCTTAATGACACACATCAATCAGGACGAACACCGAAAAAACAACAACGTATGCCTTTGCCGCGCTTTTAATTCGGACTGATGACTGAACGGTCAATGCCCGTTGTCGAATCCACAAGTCCGATATTCAACAATCAATTCGCGTGAAACGAGTTTGGCACCCAATGAAACAGATCGTGGAAAAGCGCGGTTTTAGCGACCAGGACTTACACGAACCCGGAGCCCTAAGAAATCAGTGCGCGTTGTTGGTTGGCAGTCGCCGCGTCTATGCCGGCGTGGACGCACGCCTCTACTTTACTTGGCACTGGTCACCACGCGACGGACCACCGAAAATGTATCTAAGGATTAAAAAATAAAAATATAAATAAAAATTTCTTCGCAACCTTCCGCTAAATAAATACAATGATGTGTCTTACCTGGATTGAAGAGCACATCCCGCCCTCCCTCAATTGCATGCACTAACTCCGTCACCACTAGTCCCAGCACCACTACTCCCAACACCACTATTTCAGGTAAGACACACCATCGACGATAAAAAAATATTTATATTTTTATTTTTTATTATAATGGATTTCCGCAAAGTGACGCCTGATTCTATCAATTATCTAAGGATTATTTGACAGTTAACTCACCGTGAAATTATTGACAGTGCTGAAAGACTTTTCATTGATGAAAGTGCCCGCATTTGCAGTGAAGGAATGTGAAACAGGATCTTCTAAAGTGTAGTGTGATATGGTAACCACGTGACAATGAATTGGTTGGTGGTGGTGACTGCAGTGGCAGTGTTCACAGCTGTTGATGCTGCTGGTCCACGCCGCTGCGCTGGCCGGCTCGCTCGGGAGCGGCTGAAAGCCGCTGAGAAGATCCGGGATAAGAGGTTCTTCCTCTTCTGCTGCACACCCACCTGCTCCTCTCTACTGCAGCGCAGGCCTCGGCCTCCGCCGACTACGAGACGTTACCAGCCGTATCATAAAACTTGGTTCGGCCTTAAATACGGTAGGAGAGCTCTGTTAATTAATTAATGTTTACACCGACATATTTTTATAAACACAATAATATTTTAGCACTAATTTCTGCACGTATTGCATTAAATATCGCTAAAAATCTTCTTTATTATTTTCACACAATTTACAACGAAAGAAACGTCACTCTCTAACCTTAAAATATTTAAAACTTATCCAGAAACAATTAGGTTAATGTTAAGGTCATATTATTAAATGTAAATTGATTGTTAAAATAGCTGTTCGTTTACTTAATTTCAAAAAATGTGCACCTAATTGTGCACACACGTACGAAGTGAAACGTCTTTATAACATAACATTTTTTTTATTACTCGTGCAACCTCTGCGGTGAAATGTTACAAAAACTATTTAAAGATTTTAAACGTTATTATATTTTGAAACATCGATTTAATTGCAAATGAAAATCAAAAACAAAGGTCAAGTACAAATTAGATGAAATATTTCCTCTCAGGACGTTTGAATGAAATGGATTTTAATGGCCAATTAATATATTATAGAGGCAAATCGTAACTTGCGAGAGCATCCTGCCTGTCTATGGTTAATTAAATTTACGACTACTTTCTTCCTTGCTCATTATAGCCAACAATTTAGCGGGAATAGCAATGCTTGTTTCACCTCCAACGACGTGAAATAGTAAAGTTATAAGTAAAGTTATGGCCTATATTCGTTCCATGGTTGGGCACTGGCCTCCTCCCAATTTTGAGAGCATTTTCGGGCAAGGACATATCCGACGTGCTACCCCAATGCGTGTTAACGAATTTCACATGTCTTCGAAATATAAAATGTTTCTTATTTCTCAGACATGCAGGTTTCCTCACGATATTTTCCTTCGGCGCCGAGCACCTGATCAGCACTTAAATTTGCAATTAACGATTTTATTGTTATGCTACCAAAGCTTAACTCGGCTACCACGGCTTACCTCAGCTACCACGACTCTAATTGCGGATTTTTGAAAACCAATATAAATAAAAGGAATAAGATAACGTTCCTGCAACTATGAATTTCTTATTTTGTGTCTCATTGTAAGCTTTATTTATTTCATTTAAAAAAGAAAATTTTTTGATAGCAGTATTATCCTGAAAACAACTCAAAATATTTAATAAATTGCGGCTGCCAACCTACTTGCCAAGCGTGGAAACTATGGCATATATCTCCCCTAATGCAGCAACTCGTAGGGGATGCTTATTTTTAAATTTTGTTATAATTCTTCATGGCATTTATACGTGATAGACTCGAGCTGCAGTGTAAAATGACCACAGCACGAGGTCGGCTCGACCAGGGCAAAACCAAGCTCGCAAAGAATACCAGAATGCACACGCACAGAATGCTGCTGTGATTCGTATGGTGAGTGTAATGAACCCTTTTAGCTGGTAACGAAGCAGTTCTTCTTTAGTCCTCAAGGTTGAAAACGCATCTACATTATACTGTGTGCTCGTTTATCACCCACTCTTACTTATATGAAAAAATGGAATTACGAGTCGAATTACATTAGTATTAAATGCGAATATGCGAGACGAGAATAGCTTACTGATGTAAATACAAAAGTTAACGCATACATAATAGCAGCTTAATACTGCTGTGTTTCGTATGGTGCGTGTAGAGATCCGGAGACCCTTTTTACTGGAAACGGGGCATTCCACCTCATTCTTCAGGAGTGACATCACATCTGCGTTTTGAATCTTAATCGAGGATAAATGTAGATGTCTATGGGCCACAGCATTCACATACCATCGGGTGGACTGTGTGCTCGTTTGTCACCCTAATTCTATAAAAAAACATATATAAACATGTTTTTAAAAACGGTAAAATTGGTGTCTACCCCGCCTTATGATGAAATTTGTACTTTCAAATATTGCACATTACATTATTAAAAGTTCACTGCAGAACCGGCCTCCCCATGATTATTTGAGACGTCTGCCATAGTTGCCACGCTTGGTAAGCGGGCTGGCAGCAATCATTAATTTTAACTTGTTATCGGGATGCCACTACTTAATACCAAAAAATCTAATTGCTTTATGACAGACGACGGTATTACCATCTCTGTTACACTAGACGTAAAATGACAAACCTGCGACAGGAAGCAGCGCAGCGTCAAAGGCGCGAAATGTATTGTACTGCGATCGTCAATTCTTTTTTTATAGAATAAAGGTGGCAAACGAGCACAAAGTCCACTTGATGTTAAGTAGATGTTGTGGCCAGTATACATCTACATTTATCCTTGATTAACTATCAAAACGCAGATGCGTTGTCACCCCTGATTACTAAGATGCAATACCCCGTTTCCAGTAAAATAGTGTCTCCGGATCTCTACACTCACCATACGAAACACAGCAGCATTATGCTATTATTTTACGCTGGTATTCTTTGAGATCTCAATCTTGCGACGCCATTCTTAAACTAATTTGCGGACTTAGACTAAATATATCTAATGCGTGTGTTCGAGTATCCATAAATTCATCTCCTGTAGGTTTCGTAGGCTTCCGATGGATGGCAGTACTACCATTGTCTTTATGTAAATCTGTACGGGCGTAAAACCATATTAATGGCGGGATGTATCAAAGAAGCAGTTGCTTAAATTGCGATCGTAAACCCACTTGCTAAGCGTCTTCTACGAGGTGATGAAGACACTCAACATAGGTAATGTTGAGTGTCTTCATCACCTAACCTAGGAATTTCTTCTGTATACATACACAAATTTTTGCATAAGCAAACACCCAGTCCCGAAAATATTACACGTGTTCCATACAAACGCTCGTACTGATTCGAATCCACCGTCTCGTAGAACGGCTGCCAAACCCTTAAACACTATGCTACAGAGCCGTCGTCTTAAAAATTGAAGTGAAAGTCTAAATACGTCCCACTGCTGGGCACGGGCCTTCTCTCCCTTCTGAGAGGGTTTCAAGGTAAGGAATTGTCCGCCGCACTACCCCACAATGTGTTAGCACAGTTCATTATAACTTGTCTGTTGAAGTAATTATATTTATTTTTTATTGATGAAGGATTCCTCACGATGTTTACCTTCGTTGCGGAGCACGAGGCACGTTGTCTTAATATAGAAGAAAAATATGTATAAAAACTTCTTTTCAAACTGTCAAGTTCATCTGAACGTAATACACTCTTCTAACGAACGAGACTTGCGACCGACAATGATCGGTATGTCCAATAGAAAATTCCGGATACAAATCTGACAGACTGGTCATAAAGAAGAATAAAAAGTTTAATTTTTTATAGAATAAGTGTGACGTGAATGCTGTGGCCAATAGACATCTACATTTATCCTCGATTAAGAATCGAAACGTAGATGTGTTGACACCCTTAAGAACTAAGATGAAATGCCACGTTTCGAGTAAACAAGGATCGCCGATTCTGTACACTCACCATAGCATTACGCTACTATTTTACGCTGGTATTCTGTGAGAGCGTGATCCTTCCCCGGTCGAGCAGACCCATTCGCGCTACAACCACTATATAGCTGCAGCGTGGCTCTACCACGTTAAAAAATTAAAGAATATAAAAATAGAATAGAATAGACATAAAAAATATTTATCCACTTTCCATCAGGTGGACTATGAACTCGTTCGTCACCTTTATTCTACAAAAAAATTTAAAACTTATCCGTTTCATACAATTGGTATAATAATATAAAAAGTTAGAGTAGAAATTAGGGTTAAAGTGGTAAATAATCGTAAAAATACAATTCATTCATTTCCACAAAATTATTGATGAATGCATTTTGGAGGTCCATAAGTTTTCATCGGCATGTTTCGCTCAAGCCGTGGAATTTAACGCAAATCAAAAACAAATTACGGTGTATTGAGCGAGCGCCCGAAATCCAGATAGTGACCTTTAAGATCGAGGCCGGTGTGATCGCCGCTAGGGTTTACTTGCCGCCGGTCTTGATCTTGAAGACTGGGACATTAAAATGTGAAATATATTTTATTGAATATACTGTCTTATTGATCTTATTACACATAAATAGACATGACATGGAAACAACTTATAAAGGGCCCCTTAGAAACTGACACAAAAGCCTTGATATTTTTATAGTAATGTTGGCAGACAATACCTACAATAAAAACTAACTGCCTCATTCGTGTAGTGGTCGTAAATCAACGATTGCTGATCATGAGGTCTCGGGCTTAAATTTTAGGTTGAGCCGGGATTTTCTGTCAAAAAATTCTAAAAGCAACCCAGAGTCGGGAATTTGGCGGTATGAAACTCCCGTGCCTCGGAAAGCATGTATAGTCGTTGATCCTGCGCCTGATCTCTCTCCGGTTGTGTGGGATTACCGTCCCATCGGACTATGAGAGTGAGGGAATAGAGATTATACTTGTGCTTGCGCATACACTTGGGCACTATAATCTTCTCCTGTGCAAATAGCTAATCTCCGCTGACACTGATCACTGTGGCCGAAATTTGCTCTGGAGAACATTGTTATTATTATGTTGGCAAACAATCCACATTTGTTGTTCACGTTTGTCGATCTTGCTTTAGCTATAACCCCATTCCTGTTCAACTAACCAAATTTAGGATCAGAGAACAAAGATTACAGAGACTAGAGCAAAACAACCACTACACATTACACATTAGGTTGTAATATATACATAAATCAGATGCTATTCCAGAAACTTATACAATAAAAACACAATACATCTAAATCCAGAAGGCAATTTGTATGTGACAAATGGAAATAGGCGTTACTTTGCTGAAATTGAATATATGTATTAATAATATTACAAAAAAAATTATTTACCTAAAATTCGTGTGAAAAATAAAATTTCGTGTATCACTTAGTTTTAAGAACATCCCCTGTCTCGTCCTCAATTGCGTGATCTATCACTGAAACCACTAAAACCCCTCTTCAAAGTAGTTACGACACCATTTTTATCTGGGATCTTAGATTATTAAATTTAACACAAATATTAAAATTTTACGAATTGAATATTCATAACAACCAAGAATGATAGACTAAGCGCTACATACAATCATATTGATAACGA